ACTGAAAAACATACCACGGGTTGACACAAGCCTCGTGAGTGAAGTTGGGTAGACGGAAACCTTGGGTGCCGTCGATAGTCGCGCTAGCACGAACTCACAAGTCATCATGACCGAGGTGTTGAGTGTACTGGCCTTGTTCAAATTGTTCTTTCCCAAAAACTAAGGTCTCCTCAGCAAGCGTCTGAATAGACGCCCTAGTAGACGGATATCCTCGAATACGAGTGGACAGCGAAATACATATATATATATATATATATATATATATATATATATATATAATTGTGTTTGTATGTATGTATGTATGTATATTCGATCAGTTGTTCGTTTTCCATCAGTTTAAAGCAAATGAAAATCAAGCCAAGATAAGCGAGCGATTCCGAAGTAACATTTTAGCTGTATTAAAACTAACATTAAAACGCGGGCAAATACACATTTCTCTATTTAACAATATATATTTTATGTCCGTTTTTTTCCTTCGATGTCCAGCGACCATGTGAAGGATTCTCTCGTCCGATGACTCTCGCTTAGTGAGCATAGAAGTCAACACTTAGACGATTGTGTCTAGCATGAGACTGACTGTCCCCTGTATATATATATATATATATTTACAGAGAGAGAGAGAGAGAGAGAGATAGAGATATATAGAGATAGAGATAGAGACATATATATATACATATATATATATATATATATATATATGTGTGTGTGTGTGTGTTTGTGTGTGTGTAGATAGGTAGGTAGATAGATAGACAGCTATATATATATATATATATATATATTTAAAATTTGTGTATTTAGGCAGCAAACCTTCTTTCATGCACATTTCATTGAATACGACAGACAAGGTGCTTTTATTTAGTTTATTTTTATACAATTCCTCATCTGATCTAATTTTTTTTTATTATTTTCAGATGATAATTTATATAAAAACTGTCCGAATGTTTTTTTTTTTCATCTGAGCACTTTCGGCTATACATTTAGTCATTTTCAAGGATTTAAAAAAAAAAAAACACTTAATAATATCAACTATGAATATGGATATAATATATTGACCGTGTTTTGAAAAATGTAAACATTTTATAAAACATGCATTCAACAAACTATTTCTTATTTAACAGTTAAAATATTTCATCCTTGAAAATGGCTAAATGTATAGTCGAAAGCGCTCGGATAAAAAGAACATTCGGACAGTTTTTATATAATTTGTTAGATTGCATGAGAAATTGTATAAAAATCTAAATAAAACCACGTTGTCTATCATATTCATTGAAATGTGCACACACACACACATATATATATATATATATATATATATATATATATATGTGTACACTATAGATAGATAGATAGATAGATAGATAGATAGATGGATATATAGATAGATAGATAGATTTGGGACATAGGTGTCCACACTGCTTGAAGACGGCCAGTTTCATGCCTCAAGCGATTTTTAAACCATTTCTATTTCTACGTCCATGTTGTTTATATCTCATGCGTTTTCTAGTCCAGATATTTAACAATCTTCCACATAAATAAAAGGACATTATATATATATATATATATATATATATATATATATATATATATATATATATATATATTAAAACAATTATTGATCAGAGTGGAATTAGACCAGGAAAGAGTTGTATTAAAACGTGCTTAATACATGTACAAAGAAAAACTTGCCGAGCGTTTTAAATTTAAAAAAGGATACATCAACCAGTCACTCTACTTTAGTTTCAACTTTTCGGTATGTTCCAAAATATAAAAGCGAATGATTATATAATTTAAATTGCATAAAGATAATTTCCGAAATGATTACGAAAGGCTGTACCAAGCTAGCATGGCTGGCTGATTTACTAATTTTTAATATATATATATATATATATAGATATAGATATTGATAATATTAGTGGTAAACATACATACATATGCAAAATATATAAATACCCATAATTGTATATTTTTAGAATAAAAAATCCAAGAGGAAGAATCCAGGTTATATATATATATATATATATATATATATATATATATATATATATATATATATATATATATATAGCTAAAAAAGTATTGATTTTTTGCAAAAAATAATTAGTTCTAAACGTTCTTTTAATTTATTTGCAAAAAAAAATTAAGGGTTTTTTTGAAACATGGTTCTGTGTAAAAAAAATAACCATATTTTAAATCAATTAAGTAATAAGTTAAATTTACATTGAGCACTATTTTAAAAAATAAATATCTATAAGAAAACATTTTATATCATGTTCTTTTTTTTATTTAATACATATATATATATATTATATATATATATACGAATTGAGAACGAAAAATAAATTCAAACGTTCATAGCATTAATTTAAAAGAGGTTCAATACCAAGTGTAGAGTAATAGTTATTTATTAAGATGATACATACCGACATTTTGTTTTTCGACATTTGAAATACAAACATCGTTAAAAACGATTGGATTTAAAAATGCTTCTTATTAAACATCA